GCATCAATATCCGTCCTCTGAGCTACTTTGAGGATGTGACAGCAGCTGTGTCAGAGGTCAGAGATAAACTACAGGACATTCTGAGAGAGGAATGGACAAACATCTCACTGACAGTCACTGAAGTGGATGTTTTACTGTCAGATCCAGCAGAGCCAAAGACCAGAGCTGAATTCTTAAAATATTCACGTGAAATCACATTTGATCCAAACACAGTACACAAAAATCTTGTATTATCAGAAGGACACAGAAAATCAACATTTATTTTTCAGGATCAGCCTTATTCTCATCATCCAGACAGATTCACTGGATATGAGCAGGTCCTGAGTAGAGAAAGTCTGACTGGACGTTGTTACTGGGAGATGGAGTGGAATGGGATAGGAGTTGATGTAGCAGTGACATACAAAAATATCAACAGAGAGGGGAATGAATGTAGATTTGGACGAAATTATAAATCTTGGGCATTAGATTGTTTGAAAACTAGTTATACATTTTGGTACAACAACATCCAAACTCCTGTCTCAGGTCCTCGTTCCTCCAGAGTAGGAGTGTACCTGGACCACAGAGCAGGTATTTTGTCCTTCTACAGCGTCTCTGAAACCATGACTCTCCTCCACAGAGTCCAGACCACATTCACTCAGCCGCTCTATGCTGGAGTTTATCTTAGTGGATGGTTTGTGTTTGAAACAAGTGTTGAATTCTGCAAACTGAAATAAATGGAGATAATTATCAGCTGCAAGAGTGAGGTTGGTATTAATTTTAAATTTTTGAGTCTTTTTGTTTGTGTATGACATTATGGCAAAAATGATCCAGTATAAATCTAGTGCAGCAAGTTTTTTTCACAAATAGCAGTTGGAATGTGTTTATATGTCTGTTGGGAGAGATGTTGTGTTAATGTCACCACTGTGGAAGAAAAATGTGCAGCCCTGTAGCCTGAAGATGAAGATAAACACAAGCTCCACCTTTACAGGAGTGGAACACTGTGTGTTGTGTTTGTAATATGTTTGTAACACCTCTATAACACACCTTTCCTCCACAATGACAGCAGACTGATTAGTCATTAGAATTGGGACTGATGTGCTTCAGTCACAATTCTCTGCATTAACATTTTATTTTTGTTATTTTTAATGTTTGAAATTATTTTTACCTTTCTTAACTAAAAACATTTGCTTTAAGATAAGTGGAGATTTTCTTGTTTGCTTTTTAATTTCACGATTTATTTTGTTCTCCTTGTGACTAAAAATAATTCATTGACAGGATTAAAGGCTACTGGAAACCAATGATATGAAGTTTGTGTTCAAATAAATACATTTAAATATTTCAGTCTTGGGAACATTTTTGTGTTTTGACAGTTTTCAATAAAGATTAAACTTCAGAATGGTTTGGTACTTCTGTACTTTTGTACTTCTGTACTTTTGTACTTTAGCGTCACAGTGTTTTATAGACAGAATCCAGATGAGTAAACACTAACATCTGAAAGAAAAAAAATATCATTTTATTTGGTTGCAGTGTGTGTAGACTTTACTCTTTTGACTTTTGCCCATTTTATGACTAGATAGACACTGGGTGATATTTTTGTGCAAAGATTATCTATTTCACCATTTGGTTTCAACAGAAAGATGTCATTTTCTAAATTCATGAATATGTTTTTAGCTTTGCTAAAGTACACAACTAAAGTACAGAGCACTAGTGGATAATTTTGTGGAGTGCTCTGGGAGAAAGCATCTACTTCTGAATGTGGATAAGATCACAGAGACAGGAATCAACTTCAGAAGGACGAGGACAGCTAAAAGATCTCTGTCTATCCTGATACAGGATGTTGATGTGGTGGAGGAGTACCAGCGTGTCTACATCAACCAACATTTAGTTTGTAGACAAAAAGAGATGAGAAGGCCCTTTTTCTGAAGAAAGCTGAGATCCTGAGAAATGGTGATCTTCCGTCCATGTAGAACTTCTTTAAATTTGGCTACTTTCCTTTAAAAAATATAGTAAAATGTAAGCAAGGTTTATTTTTGAGTTTTATTTATAACAAGAAAGAAATTAAAGGAATAATATGAACCCTTGATCCCTTCTCTGAGGAGGAATCCAGTGATTCTGTTGCACTGTGGTACTTTTCTGCCTTTGTTTGGGTCCTTTTGTCAATGAGAAAAATCACTGCAAAACAATACAAAGCTGTTATGACTTTTATCCTGGGGTGATACACTTCTAATAGGAGTGGTCTGAAGAGGGTCACTGAATAGCTGATAAGTATATGCTATGGGTTTAATGTAGGAACCATGAAATACTGAAGCTGCTTTGGAAGCACATGATGCACAAACACCTTACTAACAAAAGTTTTCCTTTAATTTGTCAACTGTTTGCATGTTTGGCTCCGGCCCATTTGTTTTGAATTATGATGTCATCATGAGCCTTTTTAAGCCTAGGATATCTTTGCTGTGTGTGACAGCAATAATGCAATTCAGTCAATCATGTGAAATCATTTCTCTTTTTCTGAATTTTACTGACACTGGTCAGTTGCATCATGTCCTTAGGAATATTGGGAGGCAGATTAAATAAATTAGATTTTTTTTTTTTGTCGTACTGTCTAACTGCAAATAATCTGACACTTGGTATATTCCTCTCTAGTCATTAAAAACATTTAGGGGTGCATATTTTCTACATTTGGTTATCACCTGTCCACCAGATTTTAGAGTTTGTAGTTACATTTGGGGTGACACTGGTCTCATATTGTGTACTCCATATTGTCTTTAAAATGCATGAAAGTATTGCATGAATTTAAGCGTGACAATAGAATTTAATCCTCTTAAGCTGCTTCCTTTGATGTGGAAAATTGTTTTTGGGCGCTTTAAATACTCATACATGACCCATTTATCTGTTTAGCGAGACAAATAGAGATTGTAATCAATGAGCAGATCATTTGTTATGTTAAATGTTATTTTAGATGTTGGAACACATTTTTCTTATAAATCAAATGTTGAACACTTTTTTTTTTCTCACTCACTCTCACTCAAATCTGACAAAGAAAATGTCAAACTAACCTGCGAAACCCATGGGTTCAGAGTTCAATGTTAGAGCAGAAGATTCAGCTTTCTTCACTAAAACAGCTTTAAATTACACAGAAATTAGTGTTGTTTTACTTTCTGGTTGAAGACATTTCTTGATGCATCACACCATCACAGGTAAAGTTGCTCCACAGTTTCCAACTCTGATATGATTTAGGAAATTTGTGAACTGAAAACTCTTCTCTCCCATCTTTCCATGGTCCTTGAATGCAGCATCAGTGTTACAGGTTGTGACTCCTGCGAACAAACTGACACAGTGTGATATTACACACATTTAAATCTGGCTTTACTGATGATGTTTAAGCTGCTGAAGGCTCAGTGAAGTTTTGTCTTCCTGCAGGTTAACAAGTGAAATCTGTAACTGATGCACAACACAAGAGGGCGCCTTCATCCTGCTAACAGGGATGTAGAGGAGGTTAAAGCACCTCAGCTCAGTTTGTCCACGTTTTACATTCTGCCATGTTTTTAGGCTGAATAAAGCCTTTATCATAAAGTGCACTGTGTCATAGATCCTGGTAAACTGGATCAAAGCATCATTAGTTAGTCACTTATTTAGTTTGGAGCTGTATCATTCAACACTGTAGCAAGATTTCCTTCAGCTTCTGTTAAAAACAGAAGAGGACTATTGATGAGAACAAACAGCAGGGACACAGTATCAGCAATCACCATGGTTTAACATGACCAGTAAACATCTCATAAAATGGTACATCGTGGTCTACAGTCTGTTTCCTTAAGTTCTGTAAGTTTCTCAGTTTTCAAGTTCTGTTTAAACATCTTTTAGTTAAGTTTTCATGTGTTATTCTAGAACTCCTGTTATGAATGCTGAGTTTGTATTTCCACTGTTTCCTAGTTTAGTTAATCATGTTTCTGTTTTCAGAATGAGTTTTTTTTTTTGTTTTGTTTTTTTAATAAAGTGTGTAAGAAAGAGACAGTAAATGCAAAAGACTAATTCACAGCCTTATTTAGTCAGATTTGTAGAGACACAAACTGTTCACAAATGTTTGGCAAAACATTTTGTAGAGGTCAGAATCATAGTTTTTATTCATTTTATTAATTGGTGTTAAAATAGTGATGATTAGTGGTGTTCCATGCAGAAGGAAAAAATGAGGGTCATGTGGCAAATTAGTTAAAACTATTTTTGTCATCAAAGTGTGATTGTGGCTGTTTTATGCTGTCAATAAAATATGTAGATCTTTTAAGTAAACATTCAAAAATAATGCCCTTTACAGTGAAAATACTTCAGTAGAAATGTTGTTTTAAGTGTGTATCAGCAATAAAATGCCCTTAAGATAAAACAAAACAAAACAAATGTTAAGTAAAACAACCCTTGTCTGTGTTTTTTCTTTTTCAGTTATGCGAGACATATAATGTTTTTGGATTAATTTTACTGCTATGTTTATGTGTCTGTTGTATATTATTGCTGTTGATGTTTTCATTAGTTCATATATTTTGGAGTTTAGATATATTTTGAATTAAGTTATGAAACAGTTATGGAAATGTACGATTTTGTCAGCCCATAAAGAATACTTTGATACATCACTTTATCCTTAATTTTATCAGAAACATTCAAAATTATCCCTAGATATGAGGACAATTATCTGATATTACAATTAAATATAAGCGTAAAGGTTTCAGAGGATTGTAGTTGGTGCCGTATATTCAAAGACAAATATTTGTCTCAGAGAAGTAATAGAGTTAAAGGGATAAAGGAAATGCAAATGAATAAAGAAATATTTTATTTCCACTTTTGATACATTTTCCCCAAGTGTAACATACAATTTACATGTCGTTGGCGTTAACATTGCTGTTGGCTCCAAGGTCCCAGCTTAACGACCTTGTACCTGTCCGTGAACGTCTCTCGGCCTCGGATACCAATGAATCGCTTCTGTGGCGGTTGCTAGGCAACAGGAGCAGCGCGACGTAAGCGAGACAGTCCCATTTAAAGCCGCTCGGTTCGGCCTTCACGGCCTATGGATGCAGCTGCTGAAGTGGGGCGCTGCTTCGTGCTGCTCACAGGCTCTGATGGATGCTAGCTTCATGTGTGACGGACTGTTAGCTGGAAGAGTTTATTTTGGTGCTACGACTGAGAAACATTTCAGGGTCTGAAGCAACAGTGGAGAGACTGGCTGACTGCTGCAGAAGAAATCTGCTCTGAGGTTAACAGAACGTCTGATCGTCCAGTATGAGATCAACCTTCAGCAGAGACTGCTGGATATCAGCCGGAAACCCGAGATAAAGTTACGCATAACAGGTAAAACTGCGATGGTCTCAGTGGACTAACACAAGAATACAACTCATGTAGGACCTGATCAGAGCTCAGCTTGTAGGCTAACATACTGAAATCAGGGAGCGGCTAATCACACAAGTGCGTCTCTTTTTTACGGTAAACTTTTAGAATTAAACAAACATTGAGACCGAGAGAAAGTGCCTTTATAGAAGATTTATTTAGAAGATTAAGATAAAGGAGGCAGGGAGGGAAAGCTTCGGTTTTCTGCACTGTGCCACAGTTCGCTGTCTGCTTCGGCTCTCTGACCCTCACTCCGGGGCTACAGACAGTCCTCTGCCGCCTGTGGTGCTCCTCACGTCCGTCTGCACCCACAGGCTTCCCGAGGTGGAGGCAGGCCGGCAGGGACTTTGAGAGATGGGCTTTACTTTCAGAAATACCCCTTAATCAGGGTCTAACTC